CCCTAACCACCCGGCCTTACAGGGCCCAGCAAATAAGTCAAGAGTAACTAAAATACACATTGTGAAGAGGCTTTTGAGTCGGTTAACTGTTTTATTTAACTTAGAGCTTTACGGGTCGTCGTTCTTATCTGTTGGTGATGGCTACGGAATTTGTCCTAATTACATTGCTATGTTTAGTAAAGATATCACAACAAACATAGATTTATTACGATGGTGTAATTCTATTGTTCACAGCTTTACTTTGTTTAGTTTTTTAGATTTTCTCTTCATGAAATAAACATCCGAGAATAATTTTGTTTAATTGGTTTGGTTTGAATTTCGCGCAAAGCTACACGAGGGCTATCTGCGCTAGCCGTCCCAAATTTAGCAGTGTAAGACTAGAGAGAAAGCAGCTAGTCATCCCCACCCACCGCCAACTCTTGGGCTACTCTCTTACCAACGAATAGTGGGATTGGCCGTAACATTATAACGCTCCCACGGCTGAAAGGGCGAGCATGTTTGGTGTGACGGTGATTCAAACCCGCGACCCTCAGATTGCGAGTCGAGCGCCCTAACCACCTGGCCATGCTGGGCCATTTTGTTTAATGTTTTTCCCTACATAAAGGACCAAATAATATTGGAAAAAGAAAACTATTGAATAGTATGAATTAAACTACACAGTAATAATAATTCTCGCAATAACTAGCACCCTAAAACTGGGTGGTGGTGGTCATATTACGATACAATGCCTTGGAAGTAGATTAGTTTAGTTGTTTTACAAAAATTGTCATGTTTGGAGAATAACACGGTGGTACCGCCTCCCATATATCGAATGTTTTTATACAAACCTATTTTAAGACCTTAAGGTCATCATACATACACACTGTACCAAAAATACTAGAAACACGAATGTTTAAAAGACATATGCGACGCCCCCACCCCACCCGATTAGTATATAGATTCTGTGAGCTGCTCTCTTACCCACTATTGGTCAGGGTGGGCATGGAAATGTAAATAATTTTAGCCTTTTATATATATATATATATATATATATATATACACACACACACACACACACACACACACACACACACACACACACTACTTACACACACGTTTTCAGTTTGTTGAGCTAGAGGGCGTTCGATACACAATGTACTGATAAAATATCAGTTGAAGCTCCAAGGTTATCTTGTACGTTTGTAGACTTCTGTTTGTATTGATGTGTCAGAATTATACATTATCAGTTATTTGTTGTGGTTGGTACTTTCACAGATAACTACTTTTAGAAGTGACCTGTTGTTACTAAATGATGTACAAAACTAACTATACACACGCACACACAATTATTTTGTTGATAAATGCGTTACATCGTTAGGAACAAATTAGGCTAAAATTTTTAATTTGTTGTACTTTATATGTAAGCACACACTAGAGGAAAATACGTGCTAGGCCTACAAAACATGTTTTGGTTGTGGTATTCGAATGCACAAAGTTTATAAAATGTTAAGTCAGGGCTGTTTATTTAAAGCATTTAAAACAGTCGCGTATGAAATTTAGTACTTAGTTTCTGAACGAATCTGATGGCCGTGTGGGGTGTCTCAATGACCGTGAGATTAAACCTAAATGAGTTAAACTTATTCCACAACACGTGATACCCCCACCAGACACCTCTAGTACAAAAGACACTTTAGCCGAATGATCTGATCAAAAATGACAAACCAATCAGCTTATCTGGTAAGACACACCAGATCTAGCGACGATTTCAAAACCCCGGGTATCAGGGGCAAGTATTAAAACTTAACAGGGTGAAAGTACCGGTACTCTAAACACATCAAGAAATTCACACACGAAACCACATAAAGACTGTTGTCTGAGATGGGGCTCTGAGGGATTACAAATACTTCCCTCTTTGCAATGCACAGTACTATCTACACCCACCCCTCTCTTACACACACGGTGACGTCGTTCGTACTTTCCTACTCCTAATTTCATTTTTGCATAGTTTAATAAGTTTAAAAGGCTTCTCACGCACACGTTTTTATCTTTTTTTTTAATCATCAGACAGGCGGAAGCACTGTCTATGTAGTGATGGCTTGGATTGTTAATCGAAACGGTATTTTAAATATCTCCTCAATAGGTCATCAGAACTTTACAATACTGTACAGTGTTTCTTTTTATAACAATATCTATGTAATGACTGAGTCACAAGTTCTGGGAATGTCTGTAAATATCATAGCAAAAAGTTTGAATTTCTTGTTCTTTCTGCTTCTCCTTTTTTATTACATGATAACTGAAAAACAAAATAATGATGTCAACCAATTTCACTGAGGTGACAGTTTCAAACGGAGTATCCGCTTTTATAAGTATTAATAACTAGTAGTAATTAAAAAAAATCACAATTCTAGTGTAACGATATTATCATTACCCATTGAAGTTTGCTTTCACACAGGAAATTGGCATTTCTTTATAAAGCTTAAGTACAGGGTGAAACGGGAATTACCAGCCAATAATAAATAAACAATAAATATTACAGTTGTAACCTCATTGTATTTAGAAGTGGGTTATAAATACATCCTTCCTATGTCTATTGAAACACTGCATTAAAAGAAACAACAGGCAAACAAGTAAAGAAAAAACTTTTCAAAAAAGGAAGTAAATGTAGGAATTGCTAATATCAATACTTCAAAAACGATGTAAACAAGATAGTAGGTATGTCATTTGCATCATCCCTATATTTACATTTACTTCCTTTTTTGAAAAGTTTTTTTGTTACTTATATAGATCAGCGTTTCACAAACTTTATCAGCCACGGAACACTTTTGAGCTTCGAAATTATTGACAGAATCCTTAAGGAAAAGTGTGGTTGCTTCTTTTGCTTGCAAATCCGTTTTAATATTAGGAGTGATCCTGGATTCGCATGTTAGGTCTGTCCCTGTATTTTGTTTTTAGTGTACCACGAGAATCCAGTTTCATACAAGTATGTTGTAGCGAATGGAAGGAGCTCACGAAATGCACTTTTCGTCACATTTCGGTACTCGTGAATTAGGCTACTCCAAAAATTAATTAACGGAGAAAGGGGAATACAGGGTGGTACGATTTATGGGCTGACGAGCTTTTAAGCCATAACTATACCTGGCCTGCCCCTTTACTACGACTACACTACATAAAATTTTCTTGCGAAACCCCTGGATAAATCATACGGAACCCGAGGGTTCCGCAGAACACAATTTGGGAAACGCTGATATTTCCAAGTTTTGTCTTTGAAATGCTGTGAATATATGTTTGAATTTAAAGTCTGAAATTCGATTTTTTTTTTAATACTAAAATACCTAATTAAAATTTTCCTAATACCCTTTGGCATATTTATATGAAAATTAAAGAAATATATTTGTTAAATGATATTTCCTGTTGAAATGATAAAACTTTTCTGTTCATTAAGCCTGGTGACGACTACTTATATATTAGGAGTCGCCATCATGTTTAGTGCTTATTAATCCTGGTGACGAATACTGGTATTTCAGGATTCACCATCTTGCTTAGTGTTCATTAAGCCGACTACTTATATATTAGGAGTCGCCATCATGTTTAGTGCTTAGAGCAAGATGGCAACTTCTGAAACAACAGTAATCGTCACCAGGATTAATAAGCACTAAACATGATGGCGACTCCTAATATATCAGTAGTCGTCACCAGGCTTAATGAACACTAAACGAGATGGCGACTCCTGATATGTCAGTAGTCGTCACCAGGTTTAATGAACACTAAACGAGATGGCGACTCCTGAAATGTCAGTAGTCGTCACCAGGCTTAATGAACACTGAGCAAGATGGCAACTTCTGAAACAACAGTAATCGTCACCAGGATTAAAGTGTTCATTAATCCTGGTGACGATTACTGTTGTTTCAGAAGTTGCCATCTTGCTCAGTGTTCATTAAGCCTGGTGACGACTACTGATATTTCAGGAGTCGCCATCTCGTTTAGTGTTCATTAAGCCTGGTGACGACTACTGACATTTTAGGAGTCGCCATCTCGTTTAGTGTTCATTAAACCTGGTGACGACTACTTATATATTAGGAGTCGCCATCTCGTTTAGTGTTCATTAAGCCTGGTGACGACTACTGACATTTCAGGAGTCGCCATCTCGTTTAGTGTTCATTAAGCCTGGTGACGACTACTGATATTTCAGGAGTCGCCATCTAGCCTAGTGTTTATTAAGCCTGTGTCGACTGCTGAAGAGGATCGAAAGTTATCTTCAGTAAAATATAAACAACAAGAACTGAATGCAAGATATCAAAGTGACATAATCCTGTTTCTTTATCAGAATATTGTCTGTATTTGAAACCAACGTTAAGTAAGAATAACTTCAACAACAAAAAAATTAAAATGGGAACAACAGCACTGGTACCTCAGGTTTTCTTGTGGCAAGCACTTCCTGCTTCGATGTAGAATCACGCTTCGAGAAATTATCGTGTGTCGATGCGTTCAGTTACAAGGCACGTTCATGTAAAATAAATTGGAAAGTTGATGTTTGTATTGTAAGATAACTAGCCATGTGGTACACGCCTTTTTTGGTACCACCATTCTAATGGCTATGTTGATAAATATATAATGTAGCACATATCGAGGTCATTGAGTACGACATAATTACTCGGTATAAACTCACAGTCGTATATCTATTTGTAATTAGAAACTGGGTTGACAGTTGTTTGTTATATACGTAACGAAACCCCAAAAATATATAATAATAATAATAATAGAAAGATATCTGTAAGTTACTTCCCAATAATGTAAAATCAAACACGTGTATCGATGTAAAGTTGGTTCTAGCTTGATGTTAAAAAATCATCACAAGTATTGAATATATTTTCCAACTTATTATAGTTCAATTGGATCCATAAATTTAGTTCAATAAGAGCTTAGAGGAAAATCGAGAAACACGAATTTTTAAATCATTTCTTTTTTTATTTGTCACAAATATTTTCTTTTTTCTTATATATATATATATATTTTTTTTTCAGGTTGTGGAACTCCTGAACCGATGTACCTGCCCTTTCCAGTTCCCAATGATTAGAGTATCAGAAGGAAAGTATCGCATTGGAGACACAAAAACTCTCATTTTTGTTAGGGTGAGTGCTATCGCCATCTAGTAGCAAGACCAGTCACTAAATCGTTTATTTTAAAGAATTGTATGAATGAAATAATTATCGTGATGCATAGTTCAAGATGACAAAAGAAACATAATATATACATTTCCAAAATATTTATTTTCCCTTATGAAAAACTGCTTATTTTTCTGTTTCTGTTTAACCATATATATATAACTTATGATGATTAGTATATACCTTTACGCGATAGTCATACACACCTTCTTGTAGAAGGAGAACAGATGTGTAACGAAGCTATAAATCTTAGAAATTGGCAACAACGTATTTAATTCGTAACACATTAGAACCAGTGCGCTTTCTGCATAGCCTGTCTTTGTTAATTTCCAAATCGGTTACCACTAAGATATTTTTTACCTTAAAGGCATACTTGGTACGCCCGCTTTTTTTACGCCCACGGACCATATGGAGGTACTTTTATTAGGGTATTTCACGCTGAACCCAATGATATAAGGTTTGTAGGGTCTTTCTGTAATAAAATTTGTAATAAATCAATCAAATATAAACATTTTGGTGAGTCGTAAAATTTCCAATTTTCCTTTAGCTCCTGACAATACAAAATGCTTGGTGTGGATTTAATCAAGAGGCATCGAATCAGCCTCATTTATCGGCAATATATGTAAGGTTATTATATGTTTTGTCCTGCTTCTGAGAAGGACAAAGTAGAACGTGCCCGAAGTTATATCCCGGGGGTTAGGGGTTCCGCTTCGTATTTTAATTGTATATATACAGATTTTAATGCTAATGAAGTTTTAGTGGGAATGCCACATTTTTACTTTCCGTATATGGGTCGGCGATAAAATGCATGCAAGAATTTTTGGGCGGAGCAACTTTCTTAGCAGGCTAAACGTCGTGAAGAACTCGACACGTGCTGCGCACTGCGCATTTTCGTCTATGATCTTTTTTTCTTCTTTTTTTTATATTTCACTCTTAATCTTATGTCATTGTGAATCACTCCTTTGGCTCCTAACAATACAAAATGCTTGGTGTAGATTTATCAAGAAGCATCGAATCAGCCTCATTTATCGGCAATGTATGTAAGGTTATTATATATTCATTGTGAATCAACTCGATGGGGGGGGGGGGGGTGTCCCCAGTATGTTAGAGGTAAATCTACGGACTTATAATGCTAAAATATAGGTTTTGATTCCCCGCGGCGGACAGAGTACAGATAGCCAATTGAGTCTTTGCATTAAGAACGCAACGCGGTAAACTCGAGGGGGGAGTCCCCATTGACTCAGAGGTAAGTGTACGGACTTAAAATGTTAAAATCTAGGGTTCAATTCCCCGCGGTGGACAGGGTGCAGATAGTGCACTGCGTAGCTTTGCATGGGAAAACAACAAAAACCTAACAAACTCTGGAAATAAAACATTGTAAAGGTTCAAATAATTTCACTGTTAGTTTCCGAAATTTTCGCGCAAAGCGACACGAGATCCATCTACGCATAGCCGTCTCTTATTTTGAGCTGACAGACTGACTAGAGGGAATGCAGAATAATGGGATTCGACCGTCATTATGAGAGTGCTACCAGTGACACAAAGTGCGGAGCGCGTTTTTTTTTTATCCAAGCATGTTAAATACGATCCGACCCCAAATACTTCTGAGAGTGGTCTTTTCTTCTGCGTCTCGTCTTGAATTGAAAACGAAAGGTTCGTAATAAAAGGGGTAGGGAGAATGTGTGAGTGAAAGACTCCAACACATTATGGTAGTTAAATACGATATTTTAATACACAGGCCCGAAGTTAAGGATAGGCAATATAAGCGGCTGCCTAGGGCGTCAAATGCTCTGAATCTCCAGTGTGAGTTAAAGGGCACAGCCTTAATTTTTGCCTATGGCATCAACTAAGCTGTCGTCAGTACTGCACAGTTCATACTGGTTAAATTCGATCTGAGGAGATCATAATATTATATATTTGTTTTTCATTTTAAACGGCCCGGCATGGTCAGGTGGTTAGCTCTACTCGCAATCTACGGGTCGCGGGTTCGAATCCCCGTCACACCAAACATGCTCGCCCTTTCAGCCGTGGGGGCGTTATAATGTGACGATCAATCCCATTATTCGTTGGTAAAAGAGTAGCCCAAGAGTTGTCGGTGGGTAATGATGGCTAGCGCAGATGGTCCTCGTGTAGCTTTGCGCGAAATTGAAAACAAACCAAACTGTCCCGGATATATTCAACAATCGCATGTATTGAAACAAAAAAACAGCGCAGTGACAACTACGACACGATTATGCGTCTACACATCATCTGATAATCGGACAATTGTTGGTAGACAGGGTCATTTAATAATCCTTTGAAATATTTGAACAGTTTAATAAAAACATGTGTAATTTTAACGTTATGATTGGAAAAGTTTTCGGAGCAGTAGGTCGAGTTAACGTTATAAGTATGATATTCACATCAAATACGTGAGCTTTTTTCCCTCTTAGATTCTACGTAACCACGTAATGGTACGAGTGGGAGGAGGCTGGGACACCTTGGAGCATTATTTAGACAAGCACGACCCCTGTCAGTGTCGAATTGGTAAGTTTTTGTTTTTTTCAGTAAACGTTATTTCACTGTATTTTCGCTTTTTTTTAAATATTAAATTCAGACTTTTGATAAGTGGATTTCTGTTTTGTTTTTACTTTTGGTTGCTTAAAATTAGCCGTACCCTTAACGCCAGGTAATTTTTGCTTAAATTTTACAGACACAAATATGGTGAATGTTGTTGAATCAGATTATCGAGAACGAAGGTTTTCTTGAACTGTTATTTTCACAATATTATATAGAACACAAGTGTGAGTGGTAATGTGCCCGAGATTTTGTCCTAGATGGTCATTAACTGTTATGAGGAATAAATTTTGTCAACTGTTTTACCCAATAATGTAAATAAAACAAAACGTATGGTATTTCAATTATGGTAAAAGGTAAAAAGTGTTCATTACCGAACGTGAATTAGGCTTAACTTCTCGATATGTAAGCCTATAACAATGTAATGTACCGTATTAGCATGGCTTTATAAGAGAAAGTAAAGAAGGATCATAATATATGTCAACCACACTATATATGCTATATCTAGTGTCGACGAGGCCTTTCGCCCAAAACCAGGGCTATTTGGGCCGGTTGGGATACGACAAACATAGTAGTGGTGGAGACGTTATTTATATTAGCAGGTTGTTACAGTGTGAACTGGATTATATATTGGTGAAGTGTAATTTTCCATTAATTTTATTTATGTCATAACACATCATAGTTAAGGTATCATTTGGATATGTATTTTAACATAAAATGTTAATAATTATTACCTTTCTTGAATTAACAGGCTCATTACTCAGAAGAGCTGGCGAACCCCTCAGATTAACTCTTCCTTTAGGCAATGATACAGACAATTAAAGTGAACAATACATAGTTCGAAACAATCACGTTTATCAAGTCAACATTCTGACTTCGAGAATACCAGTTGTGCATGACACTTGTGTAAGTTCTGGCACCACCCAAATGTTAACGGGAAATATTTAAATTTTGACGTATTTTTCAATATATGCTTCGAATAACCGAAACTGTGCACACTGTAACCAGGATCAGAAAATAAATTGAGGGGGCATGCCCCCCCCCCCCGGTGAAAAAATTACACCAATTTGTCAATATGTATTATTCTCTTCATGTGAAGAAATTTTACGTGCGTTAACTTCTAAACAAATATAATTTACTTCACCAACACTCGTGGCCATAACCTTTCACCCGCTAAGGTACAACATGTCTGTGTATGGGCATGGTACTTCACCACAAAGGTCGCCTAGTTTTTTCCCGTTGACTTCTACAATCTTAATGAAATGCGGTATTAGTTTTTGCAATAGGCGAACTAAACAGCTGGTTAACGATGTTCTGTTAGGAGATATTTAATGAGTTTTTTGTGATGTAATCCAGAGGGTTTATATAACTATTTTACTCAACAGGCCATAGATCATCGTCATCAGCTAAAGTGACCATGACTCCAGGAAAAGGCGGGTCAACTAATATGAAGGTTACGTACAACAGGTACGTGTTTGTACTGAGAAACAAGTTTCAATTATATTAATCGAACTCGTGAAACATATGTATGCTTTTATTTTGAATGTTTCAAGTTAATAGTGTAGGTGTTCTTCAAACCACATATTCATCAAATATATCTATCACCATTCTTGGTTGAATAAGGGAAAATTTGTATTTCTGTCTCTTGTTATTTTAACACTAGTAAAAACAAAGTTTATTAAAATCTTAGAATTGTTCCAACGCTATAATTTGCACAAAAATAATTGTTGTTATTGTAAAAGCCCCCCAGTGGCACAGCGGTATGTCTGCGGACTTACAACGCTAGAAACCGGGTTTCGATACCCGTGGTGGGAAAAGCACAGATAGTCCATTGTGTAGCTTTGTGCTTAACTTCAAACAAACAAAGAAGTTATTGTAAAATATTTTTATATTACCAATAATAATTTTATCAAGCCAATAATTGATAAGTTTTAACAACTTTGGACGTTTTTTTTTATTTGGGGTGGGGTATTTAATAATAACTAGTAATTAAATAAGAAAACTTTGTTGTTTTGTAGCGCAAAGCTACACAATGGGCTATGTATGCTTTGTCCACCGCGAGAAGTCGAACCCCGAATTTTAGCGTTGTAAGTCCGCTGATACACCAGGAGACCAAAGTTTGTTAATGAAGTAACATCCTGAATGTGTTGATAACTAAATATTAATTTCCTGAACTACCAACACTTCAACACAGTTCACATTGAGAGATAGTGAACGTAATTTGCATTTTAAGAAGCACTCAGGACCGCCATTTCATATTTCAATGCCCCTACCCCCAATGGCTCGGCGGTAAGTCTTAAGGTTTATAACACTAAAAACTGGGTTTCGATACTCGTGATGGATACAGCAAAAATGGCCCATTATGTAACTTTGTGCTTAACAAATCAAACATATTTCAATAGGGGGGGGGGCATTTATTGGTGGTCCTGCAGACGGCTGGTTGATCTGCCAACAGTGAAGAAGAATGGCAAGACTGTGACATTAGAATTACTGCTAACAAATTCAGCAAAGTGCGGCCAATGAATATATATAAAAGATAAATTTATAATTCCAAAATAAACAAATGATATCAAGCCGGGAGGAATGCTCCCCTGCTTTAAATGCCACGCCTTTGTAGCAGTTGTCAACAGAATTGGCCTTAGAGTATAACATATCTTTATATAATTATGTTTTTAAAATTTCTTACAGGTCTTCAACTTCCACTCCTCCAACATACAACCTTAGTCTCCCCACTTCACCACAAACACGCCGACGTATGTTGACCAGTTCTTCGGGTCAGCAGGACATTGGTCCATCTACTGACACAAATGACATTCCACCGCGTGAACCGTCAAGAAGTTCTCACTACAGTGACGACTCGTCTACGTCTAGTGCCAGCCTCTATTACTGCAGTGAAAGTTCATCTCAAGAGGAGGGCAGATTAGCAAGGTCATCCACACCACAGTTTCAGATGTCTCGCAAGCCACTGTCCTTCACTGCAGACAGCTCTTCCGAATTCTCTGAAGGAGAAAGTCGAGCAGGTTCTCGAATCTCTAGTCAACCCCGAAAATCCAGTCTTCGGAAGTTGTACTGCATGTCAGAAAATGGGGACGAGGTCGGTAACTGTTCCCGTGTATATTTGTCAGATGGTTGTGACTCTGGCTTTGGCCCCGAATCATCAGAAACAAGTTCAGTTCTTTCAGGGGATGACCAGGGGAAAGTTAAGGATTCTGGAAAAACTAGGTTAAAGGAAACAAAGCAAACCCCTGGACAAGTCCCTAGAGATGCCCCCGTGGATTCGATTTTTTCTGACGTTAATACACCAACTTTAAAGTCTGTAAAGAAAGTCAAACAAGTTTCAGTAAGTCCACCTGGAAGGAAAACGACACCAGGCATTAGTCATAAATCTCAAAGTACGGAAAATTTATATTGGGGAAAATATAGCGAAAGAGTACAGATGAGCCGCCATAACAGCTCCAATTCTTCAGCTTATGGTCGTAAAGACCGACGATCTTCAACAGACTCTTCAAGTTATACCTCTAGTATTTCTAGATGTCATTCTCAGACTAGTGATATTGGTGGGCTTGGATCATCTCTGACCAGAAACACTCCAGGACGGTTTTCATATAAACCCCCCACAGACGTTCGGCCAAAAGTGGACACAGGAAATAAAACTTGGGCTTTCAGACAACGTGCCACTAGATCTTCCATCAGTCCTGATTTCTGCCGTTACCCTTCTAGAGGAAACAACCTTTCTCCTAGTAAGACCAAAACAAACCTCAAGTCTCGGAGTGCCGAATCGAGTCCTGCCAAATCGATTGTAACAGCTACTAAAGTGCAAAAACTCTTAGAAGATATTGATTTAGCCACAGATGATACATTTTTCAATGAAATGCAGAGATTTATAAGTAGCTATCGAGAAAAAATAGAGAAAAAATTAAAAAACGAACAAGAAGAAAATGCATATTTGAACGATGATGACAGTACCTCTTCAACACCAACTATGTTATGTTCTCCGGATTCGGATCGCCCACCAAGTCGGGGTCTCGGTTACAGCCAACAGTCTCCCAAGTTTCGACCCAGAAGAGAGAGTCAGGGAGGGTCCACAAAAATTCCACTCCCAGTTTGGTATAACAAATAACACCTACGAGTTTTTGTATCAGTAACCGTGTCTTCTTTCACTCGGCACTCAGGTGTTACACTTCATATTTTGGGATCTCAAGCAAAAAGAAAAATTTTTTGTAGTAGTAGGATAGAAATGAGTCGCATTCTTGGAGTTCGTCCATTAACTGAACAATCACCTTTATATCAGCGGTAATGTTTGTGAAGAGTAGTTTGGTAAGAGCTCGTGCAATACAATTACAACATGCTAGTTTTCCTTCTTTTTCTTTTTTCCTGCGGGTTGGTAATAAATAATAAACAAAAAATTAATTGATTTCTACGAAGGCAGAATAATTTTAGTTATTGTACTACTACTACCACTACAACGATGACCGTGATTCATCCAGTTCGGATACTGTTTTAAAGCCTATAAAGATAATTCAGGGAACACAGAGGGAACTAGAGTTCAGTTTCCTATAAACTTCAGACAGATGCAATACATAAATGATTCAACGTCAGTGTTTGTTAACTCGTGATACTTTAGGGTAATCTGGAGCAATAACATGTTTTTTCTCATGTTATTTGTCAGTAAAATTGAGTCCGATATTCCCAGAAAAACAAACAAACTTGAAGTGAGGGTGTACTTTTGAGTGTAGTTAGGTAACAGAGCAGGTCAATTATTGCATAAAGGGTATACCTATAGGTATTCCTGATTGTAGTTATATAGCAGAACGGGCCAATTAGTGCAGAAAGTGTGTATCCCAAGATACTCTTGGCTATAATTATATAACACGGATGACTAATTACTGTAGAAATGGGGCACCTATAGACGCTCTTTGTTGTTGTTATTGTAAAAACAGACCGATTAATACTAAAAGGGTATGCCCATATACACTGTTGACTGTAGTTAGAACAGACCAGTTAGTACATAAAGGGTATACCCATATACACTGTTGACTGTAGTTAGAACAGACCAGTTAGTACATAAAGGGTATGCCCATATACACTGTTGACTGTAGTTAGAACAGACCAGTTAGTACATAAAGGGGTATACCCATATACACTCTTGACTGTAGTTAGAACAGACTAATTAGGACATAAAGGGTATACCCATATACACTCTTGACTGTAGTTAGAACAGACTAATTAATACATAAAGGGTATACCATGTACACTCTTGACTGTAGTTAGAACAGTCCAATTAGGACATAAACAGGCCAATTAATACGTAAAGGGTATACCTTAAACACAGGCCAATTAGTACATAAACAGTCTAGTGTCCATAGTCACCTTTTGCTGTCGTTATATAACAGAGCAGATATAGCTGACAATTCCTGGTTTTAGTAAATGTATTTTTTCACCTTTTGAGCAAAAGAGAGGAATGTGCTGTTAACTGAAACTTTGAATCTTACTTACTGTCGTTTAATGAGTGTTTTTCTCTTGATAAACAATCAAGAATTTCCAGCGTTCTTCGTCTTAAAGGTTAAACTTTTTAGAATTCATATAGTTTTGGAAGCTGGATTTGCTAGTGCCTCGTGTAATTTGGATATTTTTAGTTGGTGATACTAGATGATCGAAGTTTTAAATGAAGAAGGTAGAGGAATGAACGAGCGTGTGTAGAATGTTTAAGCAATTTACATATTTATTTAGTGGCATATTAGAGTTAAAGAACCGCGAATTTTTACTTGTATGTCCTTAAAAACAAATAGTTTTACCTAATCTTTGTGGAATGGTGACTGATTTTACCAAACCCACTGTGTAATGATAAGTTTACCTAACTTTTTGTGTAAAATGACGACAAGGTTCCCTAATTTTTTGTGTAATGATGACTGGTTGTAGTTTATCTTTGTATAATGTAAACTAAATTGTTTTTACAAAATCCTTTATAATGATAACTGGTTTTAGAAACTTTGTGTAGTGATAACTGGTTTATCTGACTCTTTTTTTGTAATAATGGCTGGTTTTAGAAACTTTGCGCAGTAATAACTGGTTTATCTCAATCTTTCTTTATTGATGACTGGTTTTACCAAATTGTTTTTTTGGGTGATGAGTGGCAAGAGAAATCTTGAGTAAATGAATGTATTATTTTCTAACATTATCCATACTGAACTTACGTCCGTAGCAGCTACCTAAGGGCTGTGTGGGATAGTTCGAATAATTAAATAAACCTGTTATTACTTAGATCTATTGCTCTAAAACAAGGTAATTCTAATACTCTGGATAGTTACTAAAATTTAAAGGAAGTGGACGCTTCCAGATGTTTTGATGTGTATTTGTGTGCGCACTTAGGGAAAAAAATGTAATTATTTTTTTTCATATATTAACAAACCATTTAGCAAAAATATTGACTTCGTGTGTTAGCAGTTTGAATTTTTATGATAAGCAAGAAGTCATACAGTTACTGACGTCACCACAACCAGTTTCTTTGTTTACTTTTTTATTGTTGAATTGCACGTGTCATTCACATCCTGGTACTTTGCAATAATAATCACAAAAACAAAAGTGTTATTTTAATTTTTCCAGAGAAATATAACTAATTATTCAGTCACATAGAAAATCCCCAAAATTTTAGTGACAATTACTTGAACAATTTTATAAGAAATATTTAATACTGTAGTAATGTACATGTGGCATGATTTCAGCACAAAAGCTCGGATGTAGATTTGACAAAAAAAATGTCTCTGATGCATTGAAATAACGCTGTAGGAAAAACCCAGGACAGAATTAAAAAGAGCGTTTGAAAGAGAGCGATAATTTTTTAATTAGGCCTAACCTTCAATGTTTTGTATTATTGGTATTAGATCTAAAAGGTTGGCATTTTTGTTAAGTAGACTTTTCATGCACAAGTTTGTTTGTTTTCTTTAAAATGCAAGAAGACTGTTATATACATATTTACTGACAAATAGGCATGGTTTTGTTTTGATTTTTGTCAGAGTGAATAGAGCAAATTCATCGTGGTTACTAGTTGTTACAGACATCGTTAGATTTTATTCGTTGAAACGTCTCGTTTAGTATTGAAGGCTGTGGTTGAACATGAATCATTGTTAAAATCTTTATAGTGTATTAAAAATAATACTAACTTCGATTCGAAAATCTAGTAATCGGCACTATTTGAGTATATTTAAATATTCTGAAATGAGGCTTAAAATATATGGTTATATCAGCATGGTAGTTTTATACGATGCAAGTGAATCGACTTTCTTAATCTCCAAAGGAGTGTTTATTTTGATTAGGGATTTTCATCGGTAATAAATATGGTGACCATAATGTGGTTGAAATACCATTATTATATACTCTGCTAATTCTTGAAAATCCCTAAGGGTCCGGAAAAGAATGTAGTGTTAAAAGATTTAATAGGTCTAATACTAATAATGTCTGATGATAAGTATAATTAATTATAATCATGCTACGCCATTTTGGAAAAGACGTTCACATAATAACGAATGATTAAGGTTAAGTTTCTCTCAACTGTTAAAATTTAGCATCCTAGCATCACTATAATGAAGTTTGGAACAACCCTATGGGGTAATTTGATAACCATCCATTTATACTTGTCCAGTGACAACATAAACATTCGAGGGTGATTAATAAGATAATTTCTGAAATAAAATATACGATAGGAAACCAATAAATTCATTCTCAGCAGCCATTGTTTGTGCCACGTGTCTTTTTGTGTGTGTGTCTTAGTATCGAGCTAAATCTGTCTTCTCGTTAAGTGAGAACTGGCATGCCACGTGTCATTTTTTTTTTGTGTCTTAGAGTCGAGCTAAATTGGTCTTCTCGTTAAGTGAGGGCTGGCATGACCTGTGGTTTGGGCGATCGACATGCAACCTGCAGGTCGCGGGTTCGAATCCCATCACCGAACATTTTCACTCTTTCAGTGGCATTATGATGTGACAGTGAAACCAACTATTCGATCAGAATAGCCCAAGAGTTGGCGGTGGGTGTTGTTGACTAGCTGTCTTTCTTTTAGTCAATCATTTCAAAATTAAGAGCGGCTAGGCCTTGAATAGCTTTTACGCGAAATTCAAAACAAATTAATTTGGTGGTTTACATCGTTTTTGATATAGAATGCTTGTTAATGAATAGTTTTCGTTTTTAAGCAAGAATACGTGTGGTAATAAAGAAAGAAAAGCTATCCGGGGTAACAAAATACCACGACCATATCTTATTAACTGAGATTTTCATATTGGAATAGACCGCAGATTGAGCAGAAGTAAACATGAAACAAGTGTAAAACCAAGCAAAAAAGAAAAATTCCCACGTATCCCAAATTTTTTATTTAAAGTAATTGGATATTATTTCCGTCCGAGGTTTTATTTTTAATCTTAATGATAGTTCAGGTAATATCGTTCTGGTTGAGAAGTATATATGTTTGTAAAATGAGATGTTTGGTTTCAGATGGTATTTTGTTTACCGAAGTTGCTTATATTTTAACTGAAAAAAAAGAGCACATCTGGAATCGCATTTTAAAGACACGAAGCATTTTGCGTCAAAACTGACTGTTCGGGTGAGTGGCATTGATCTCAGCATTAATTTATGTGTCATCAGACATTAGTATTGGGCCTGTTATATTTTAAACACCGTATTCTATATCTAGTACTTTAGGAATTTTCAAACTAGACTAGACTTGGGACTAGATATAGAATACAGTGTTAAAAATATAATAGGCCTAATACTAATGTCTAATTAATTATTATCATGCATCGCCACCTTGAAAAGGCTTAGCAGTTGTTATTCTTGCCATTATTGAGTGGTATCATTTCGGAAGCCTTTATGTTTTTGGATTAAAAAAAAGTATTTATGACCATATGCATCCTAAGAATGTCGACAAAAACCGCAATTACCAAGAATACTGACGTGCTGATTTGCTAAGGTTTTGTATTAATTGGTGTATCGAGAGAGACAAAATGATTGTATCAGAACTTTCGCATAAAACTGTATATACACGAGACATAACTGCGCATAACTGTACCTTACTTTAAACCAATAGACTAGAAGGAAGCTCCCACCACAAACTCTTGAGATACTATTGTCTGACCCACTACCTCATATATAATGACGGGAATCCTTTCTTTTCAATGGGGTCTTTTTCTCTCTCTCTCTCTTCTTTTATATCACTTCCGATTAAATGCATATTGACTGTAATTGTTGAAATTATCTAAAATTCCTCGCTTTATCACTTAGGTTGTAAAATTGTCATCGTAGTCAGTAGTGTAAGAAGGAGTTGCAAGTGGGGGTGTGGGGTGGCTAGACATGCAGATATTACAATGAGAGATTGAAAGTATAAGGAGCTGCTAAAAGCAGCTTAATCTATGGGGTCTGCCCCCCAGGGAATTAATATAATAATTTAATTTACAGTTGTTATACAAACCATATATATATGTAAAAGTGGGGATGCTGGAGCACCCTCGGTTCCGACGCCTCTGGTAGTAGCTAAGACCTTTATGTAATGGTTCTAACGAGACAATTATTCAATCCATTTGTTACGAAACAAAATCTTCAGTAAAAGGGGGGGGGGACTGAAAAAAAAACGTGACAGGTAGACCTGATGATTATCATCTTGTTTAATATATAAATTAGAAGGAAACACGACGTGAATTAAATGTAACTAGCTCCATGACCTTCTAAACCATTATTAGGGTTAGACGCCTACATTTTTCTTTTTCAGAATGACCTTGCCAGCGGCTAGTAGAATCAACCACGTCCTCTAGTGGCGAATGAAACGCGCCAGAAAAAGGTTCACTAGCACTCTTTTTTTTTTCTTTTCTTTTTTCAGTTCGTACAGAAGTAACAAAAATTAGGGTTAGGTTTGGTCAGAATATATATAATGGGAGTAGTTGTTGTACTCAAGGTTAAAGAAAGAGAATCGCTGGAAACCAAAAGCCTACGAAGTACTTTTGTGAACTGGTTGTAAATTCCTCACACCCATACCAGGAACGTTAGGGTAGAACCCCCTTACTTGCCTGCTGACCACCCGTCAAAACGTAGCCAAGTTTGTTTAGAAAAAACATTTTCTAGGACTAGAAGACTTGGTTTTGCTAACTTCACTCTATTAATGCGTTTTGGCGAGATAAAGTTATATTGATGTATGAAACTTAGATGTGACAAGTATATACATTATTTCATTCAGTTGTTCAGCACAAAGCTACACAATAAACTATCTGTGCTCTGCCCACCACGAGTATCGACATTGATTTTTAATGTCGTAAGTCTGCAGACTTGCCACAGAGCCATTGGGGGTGGAGCTATTTCTATCAAAACAAAATCTTGAGTATTCTCCATAAAACCATAGTTTTCGTCACTTTTTTAAAAAAATAAATGCGGGTAACTGTAAAAATTTCATAAGAAAATAACGTTTATGTACTTGCTTCTGCCCTGTAGTCGAAAATATAGTCTTATAAAAAAAAATTCAATCTGTGCAATATATATTCACTGTAGACATACATGCAATCTTGTGATTTACCTGATACTTTCGTACACCTGGTTCAGTCTCGTGTAATAAGTCTGGTTTTTGAATCAAATTTGCATTAAAACATGCCAATCTTCTGAAGCTTCTTGTTCATGCTTAGTTGAAAACTCGGGTGATTTTCTGGGTACATCAGAGAAAACTACACAAACTCAATCGATTCTCACCGTATATATATCAGAAATTTTCTGAATCTCCATATTGGAAGTGTTGTGTTCTAAAAGACGAACAAGTGAATGAGATCATATGATCGAAGTGCTTCAAAATACGTAATAAAATTTATTATGAATTAATGTTTGAAACTGAATAAAATACACGAGTTTTTGGAGTAAAGAGATTAATCTTTATTTTGGAATTTATCTTTAAAAAAAAAGGCCACTTTTATATCTTTACTTTGGAATGTATCTTTTTAAAAAGTCTACCTTTTTTTACACGATTTACTTATCCACTCGGCAAACAGAAATTATTGTTGTACGGTTTATTGTAAACAGCAAAAAACAGAACAATGCTTTTTGTATAAATAAATGTGCGAAACAGATTTCAGATTAGTAACTTTTTCGTATTTTTTTAATATTTTACTTCATTAAGATTTTCAAATCTAATGTTAGAAAAAAAGACTGGCTTTTCTACGCTATTATAACAATTTCGATAATGAAACCAGAACATAAAAAATGTTGTTTCACTGACATGCCTTGAAATATAGTCTTAAATATTAGTAAAGCATATGGTCAGTCGAACGGGACGTCTTACCCAACAGCAATGACAGTTGTCAGAGTGCTCATGTTTCCAACACTGTTTCGGTCAGCAAGAAATATTTTACGCTTTAGATACCAACTGTGGAACAAAAGATTAGCGAAATCTAGAAATGTGTGTTAGTTTTAAAAGGATATAAAATATTATATATCACACCTCGCAAGTTTCATCACAGTAGCGTTATATTTCCTAAAGTTCAAGTTCTACAAGTTAACTTTACTAGCGTTTACTGTTAGGCCTAAGTATACAGTCGATAATACAACACCTTCACTTTCTAAAAGTTTGCCCCTAACCCCCATCTATTAGCTCAGTAGTAAGTCTACAGGCTTCGATAACCGTGGTGGGCAGAGAACAGATAGCCTATTATGTAGCTTTGTGCTTAACCAAACAACTACTAAAAGTTACTTTTTTTATTTCTATGGCTGTACAAAGTGTATGGCATTATTACTTCGTCGAAAACAAACTCAATAATTACAGTATTGACTAACAAATAAAATCTCACTACTTCAATCTCAGTGTAGCTTACTAATACACTCAATAGCCAATAATAATCTATTCTAGTCTAACTCGCATTTTATACCGCTCCAAAACATTGGGAAAAAATCCAGACGCTAACCCTCCCTCCCACTAAACAGTAAAACATACGTCTACGTTAAAAACATATCCCACAACAATGTGAAAAGGTAATATATATATGGTACAAGATAGGTAAAGATCCGGGGAAAGTTCTGATTTCGTTCTTATCATTCTTTAAAAGGAAATACTTATATAGCTGTCTTAACACAAATTGTAACCTCAAACCATGTTTAAATGAGTGGCCACTGGACAGAATCTTAGATGTATCATTAGGTTAAAGATCATCATAAATCACGACTTTGTTCGGGACAAAAAAAAAGTTTCACGATGAGTTCATTCAACTTCATTTAAGAAAGCATTTAATATATATATATATATATATAAGTGGGTTACATAAGCTAAAGAAATGGCAGGATTTTTTTTAAATGACATAGGCGGTGTTGGAATCTTATTCACCTAAAAATACCAACCAGCTGCTTTGGTACATGGCCATACGGTCTACACCACCTACTTCCAGGCATAAGACAGATGGTTCAACACGTCATTTATTGCAATACTAAAAAAAAATAAAAAATGCTGTCTATCTATAGAAGATTCCGGTTAAGTGATCTCAACTCTTACTATAACCTCAGAACAGAACTGTTCGGTAAGAAAAAACGGAGAATCAGTGCGTAAAACAACAAACAGATATGAAATGTGTTCCTGACGTTGTCCATTTTCACTGAAGTATGGACATAAAAAATTCAAACGTGCACAGCCTTAAAATGTGATGCATAATAATAATCACAGAATCCAAAACTATGTAAAATGTCGTACGATATTTCTGTTCCTCCCAGTACGGCCTTAAATAA